GAGCCTTTGGTCCGTGCTGGGGAGAAACACCATGAAAACAGTTTGCAGTTCCCCCATGATCACTCATCAGAGGGACTGAATGAGATATGCTAATAGATCCTGAAAACCCTGCGTGTGAGTCCCTCTGCAGTGTGGATATTTCCCTGTTAGTGCCTGCTTTCTCACAAACACACTATCCTTTCTTCGCTCTGCATCCGTTTGTCATATTCTCACCAAACATTGTCACACAAACACATGTAGCAGCCATTCCCACCAATGCATCATTGACATCCAGTCCAGCCTGGAACGTGTCTCCCCCTGTCACCTCCCCACACCCTCCTCTGAACCTCCAGTCCGCCAGCCGCCTTGAATTATTCATCTTAATATGCCTATTTGACAAAGCCAGCCGCTGTGCTGGATCGCCAAACATTACAGGCAAGAAACATTTGTTTCTCTGTCTCCATGCGTCTCACTCGTTCACTTTCTGTTATTGACTTCTTCTCCTCTGTTCCTCCTTTCTCATCTTTTCTCACAAATGCCACATTCCCCTCCCGTTTATTGGCATCCGCTGTCACAGTGATTTGCTGAAGTGGATGTGACGGGCAGCAAGCCTCGTTCATGCATTCTACTAAAGCCATACATTTGCTCCAATATAATTTGTTCTTCCTTTCTATTCCTTCTGCTTCTTTTGCATGCTGTGTTGGACAATGAGAGAGTGCTTTCTCTTCACTGATTTAATGTTTCGCCCTTGTTTTGTCACTTATAATATATGCAAATTGCAGCCCTGGAAAAAAGGTAGGTCTCTTTGCTTTTAGTAATCAACTCCCACCGTTACGTAAACAGAGAAATTACATCTGTGTGTCATTATGGTTGAGCATTACAGAGGCTGCTTGACTGGTGCTGCTTGACCCGGCTCCGAGAGCCAAAATGCTCCTCTCCCTCATCTATATTTCAGTGCGCTGAGGGTGTTCCGTAATAATCCCAATTTGTGAACATTGCAGGCACCACTCTGCCATTTCCAAGCACTGCAATCTGTAGTCACATTCCGCTAAGGTGCCGGAGTAACAATGGTCATGACTACCTGAAATGCTATACATTTAAAGCCTGCAGCAGCCATCTCCCGTGCTGCTGGAGTACTTTTATTTCCACTGAAACTTAGCTCCGCTCGAGCAGTTTCCTAAATTTGTGACTGCTCTTATCACTAAAAGGCTTTCAGCGAGTCGTACTTTTCAGAATCTGACCTTGAGTTGGTCGGTTCAACCTGAGGAGACGTCAAAGAGTTTGGACCCTTGCCCTTAACTGTAGACACACATCCGATATTATTTGGAAAAAGTAGTCCATGGCAGCTTTGAATGGAGGTTATTTGTTTCACATTCCTTTCAAAATCTTCCCAAAAGCCTTTACCAAAAATAAAGAATTGGATTAAAACTGATTCTTATTTGCTTTGTTGGAAACCTTTGGCTTCAGGATTGATTCCTTTAATCAGCCTTAAAGGAATAACTAATCTGGGTTGAGGGCAGAAGTAAACATGGCGCTACTACTGTGGTGGCATCACACTGGTAAATCTGCACGATAACACTGTGATGTTTGTCATTTTTAAACTTTGGCAAAAGAAAATCAGACATTTGTACATAATAATAATACTTTCAACAATGTGTTTCTAGTTTTTTTTTTATGAAATTAAGTGTATTTCAAATGATTACTAGCAAGAAATCATGGAATGCAAGTTGATTTATAATCAAAATATAATATAAGTTTGATTATAATCATTTGTATTCAAATTGGCAAATAACATCATTCGTCTTAATTACTAGGAGGTCGGATGCAAACCAAGAAATATAAATATGTCTATTTTGAATGATTTAATCCATCCAAGGGAGCGACTGCCGGCAGTAATCGACTCCTGTATCCGATCTTTCACCGATTGAACCTGGTTTCGATCCAAAAATGACAACATCCACATGCCAGCACCTCTTAAGCACAAATGTTAAGCGGTATTATCCTACATATTTAATCCATACAAAAACTGAGGAGAATTAATGTCATGGTGTGGTTTTACAGAGAGTTACATGACAGACTTATTTACTGACTAACCATCTTACTACTGGAGTAAATGGTCCGGCACCTAACCACCCATGAAACCACAGGTCATTTTATACAGATGTTAATTAGTGAGCTTAAGAAGAGCTGGTAGGTGGATTTTGTTATCTTTGGCCAGAGCTAGGCTAGCTGTTTCTAGTTTCCCTGCTAATCAAATCTACCTGGCTGCTGGCTGTAGCTTCATATTCAACCTGCAAACATGAGAGTGGCATCAACCTTCTGATCTACCTCCCGGCAGGAAAGCCAATGAGTGTGTTTCCCAGAATGTCGAGCTATTCCTTTAAAGTGTGTGTGTGTGTTAACCTCCAGAGGCCTTGAGTTTGGCCCCTTTCAGCCTAGTTGGCTCTCAGGCTTAGCCCTCCATTTACAATCAAACCCTGCTGCTTCTCTCTTTTTCTAATGAGGGCTGGAGGGATGTATCTGGGCCTTCAGCTGTTTTATCTGCTCCCGCTCTCTCTATTTCCCTCCTACACCGCAGTCAGGCAGGAAGTGTAAATAAATAAATATCTCTCCTTATTGTATCCTCCAGCCTGCCATCAATCTGTCAAGCTGTTCTCCTCTCATTTACAATAACGCCACACCATCCATGATATGGGGATGCTCATCAGCCAAACCTTTCACAAAGAGAAGCAGAGTTTTCCCCACAATCCTTCACATGTGCCAAACAACCTGACGTTCCCTCTGTGGGAATCATTTTGGCTCCTCCAAGCACATTTATCTACAATTTGATTGAATTTCATGTACCATAAAACTGTAATAATAGCAGAATCAATTATTATTATTATTATTTTTCACTCTCTCTCTTGTCAGTCTTAATGGTGAGGTGTTACCACTCCATCCCAACCGCCTGCTTCAGGTTTTCATCCTTACATTGAGCTGCAGAAGAGGCTGGACCGACACAAGCGTTCTCACACACAGATCGCCCCAGAGGTAAACCGTCTGAAGTGAAATGTGCGCGTGCAGAACACAGCGCTCCACTGCTCTCTATAGGTTTGTTCATGACAGCGCATCACTTCAATCCTCCAGGAGAAATTCCTGCCTCTGTGCACTCAATTGTCCGACATTTTCGTGCTGTTAAAAAGCTCTCGCAGTCAGAGGAACTTTGTCTTTATTTAGCTAATGTATCACTTTCAAAATCAACTGGATTGAATCAAAAACCAAGGTGAATACAAGGCTTATTAACATGGCTGTAAAAGACACTCTGGAGATGCAAGTGTTTCACTGTGTTTTCTGTGTAACTTTTGCTGCCTTTTTGGGGATTTTTCACTTGAATGAAAACCCACATAATGCACTTCTATTCTCATATTTCATCCAACCCTTTCACCGAGGGAGTCTCATTTTTCTTTTCATGCTGGGTTTCCTGCAGCTTTCCCCTCACTTCCGTCAAGTTCTCAGTTGCAGTTCAAGGCACCGTGTGGGCCCGACTTACGTCTCCTGCTACCTTCGGCGCCACCTTGGATGTTGGCTTGATCTCTCTACCACTGCATTGTTGTTGTCAGTAGGCCTGCAGTTTGTGAGACATTTCACAGTGAGATCATGAGCGCGGTCAACAGTGTTGGAAGACGTATTCAGATCTTTTAGTTAAGTAAAAGTACCAATAGTCTTTCATTCGAAACCCTAAAAGAGCAGAAGTATCATCAGTTCCATGTATCAAAAGTAAATGCACTGTAGCAGGTCGAGGTGGAGCTATTCAGGTACATTTAGTTTGGTCCAGTGGTTACATATAAAATAGCATGGATAAACTCAAGTTAAGTACAAGTACCTGAAAACTACTTATGAACAGTACTTGTGTAAAAGTCTGCGTTATAGTCGCCATCCCGGTTTAACGGGAAAAGGTGTTGAGGTGAGGTATCTTTAGCCATGTTATATTCTGCGATACAAGACTTTCCATATTAGTCTTTCTTCACTTGTTGACAGCATTAATGAAACTCATTAGTGACGGAAGAGTCGTTGAAATGTCAGTTTTAATTAATATAGTGCAACAGTCCTTCACCCCTCATTTAATCAAATTTGGGATACTGAAAGAAATAATTTCTGACACATTTAAACGACACACACACACACACACACACACACACACACACACAGAGACAGACAGAATCTCCTGTGTCACTTCAAGGATAACTTGAACTAACTTTGCAGAGTAGGACAGGATGGAAAGAAAGAAAAAAAGAACGTATTGTCCGGATAACTCATTATAATAAGACCCACCTAGGGGTGTTGCTTTATATAATCGGCTCCACACGGAGTCTGTACATCTGAGCGGATGAGTGACAGATGTAAACATCAAAGTGGCCAAATTCAAGCCTGTAGTCTCAAGTCTCAACGATGGTGAGTCAAGTCTGTGCCTTTGTGGAACAAAACCTCTGTGAGTTTGTTTGTTTGTGTGTGTGTGTGTGTGTGTGTGTGTGTGTGTGTGTGTGTGTGTGTGTGTAGTGTGAAGGGGGGTGGTGGTGGTGTGCTCAGCATCATCCTGCTCCTCTGCTGTCGTTCATGAACACAGACCTATTCTGGTCCCTTCCTCTCTTACGGCAGAGAAATGTGGGCTGACACAACAGTGAGTTTTATAAAACCCAGCTGGCAGGCTTTGTTATGCAAGCACATTACAGCCCTGTTCCTGTCGGTGTTTTATAGGAATAATCCACCCGAAAACCCATTAATGCTGTCACCAAAGCAGCTATCGGTTTCTGGGCCCATTTTAATTGTTTGATTGTGTGTTGGTGTGTCTCTTATTGCTGAAGTTCACTGAAAGTTGATTAGTGTTTGACCGGTGTGAGTTTTTTTGTAGGCCTGATACTGATATTGTGTCACAGCCATTGATGATATTAAACAACTTTTAATGTGGTGTTTGATGCCAAGACAATTCAAGGTTTCATTGATTATCTACTTGTCAGGAAGAAAATCCCATGAAACAAAAATGCCGTTTATGCTTTAACCAAATGAAGAAAGCTAACCATTTTCCAAATTGGTTGTACAAATTTCAGAAAATATTGTGACATTTTCATTATTACATTGTCATTCTGTTTGAATACATTTGAGATCACATGCTTTCTATCATAACTGGTGCATTCACATGCTTTAGTTTGGAAGTCAAAACAGGAGAGACAAACAAAAAGGATTACATGAGGTCTATTAGGTCTGTTCTGCAGTCAGATGTCAAATCTTACAAAAATTATCAACAAGGAAGAGTTTCCAAACTGTTTACATTTGTATGAGAATGTGAAAATGATATATTCAAAACCGTATAAACGCACAAAATAGACTTAGAGCGCATCTGCATTGATTGCATATTGAATAAACCATCAGCAACCGCTCATACAGAAGAATTTAGCATCATCAGACATAAGAGGCAGGTTTTAATGCGTTTTTCTGCCTGCTACTGTCCTCCATGTCGCTAAGCGGCGCTGTTGAGCTTAAATGTCACGCTCACTGTCACGTTAGTTTTTAGTGTCACGTGACCGGATATGCAACTTCAAAACATCAGTTGGATAGCGGGTGCCAGCAGCCGACCCTGTATGGTGTCAATGATGTTCTTCAGCTGACTTTTAGAAGTGGGAGTGAGAGAAAACGTGGTTGTGTGAGTGATTTTATGCCGCCGACATGGCGGGTCCGCTGCTCGAGTTTGAGACCGAGATGTTTCTGAGTCTGTTTGAATGCGACGGGCTGCTGGTGGTGGCGGAGGGGATGGGGATAGACCGCATCCTGCTGCAGTTCATGCGGGTTTACTCGGAGCAGGGCAGCCTGGTCCTTCTGCTCAACACAACCACACCTGAACAGGTGAAGAACACACACACACACTGTTAGGTTACCGCTAGCTAACATGGCTCCTATGTGGGCTTCATAGCTTGTCCCGTCGCTAACTAACGGGGCGGCGAGGTGGCTGATATGGATAATGTAAATAAACCGTTACTCGGGGTGTTAAAACAGAGCTTTTTAGATAGTTTGGTTGTGAGAAATTTGTTCTCAAGACACTTAAATGTGTTGTCTGTCTGGGACTGACTCGTGACTGGGACACTTAATGTAATGGAGCAATCATTAATGTTATTAATCTGTGCTTTTCCTGCCTACATGTCGTGAAAATGGCCAATATAGAGCATCACATAGCCCATTGTCATTATTAAAGACTTTTAAGCTAGAAACTAAAAACATGATACTGTGATGAAATACATCAATGCTAGTGTTAATATTGATATTTCTTATCAAATTTGCATTTCATGGTTAAAAATGTCTCTGAGCGTGCTCTACTGTCTTACATCTACCATAATATTTCAAGACTAACAACAATAGGCAAGACGACTTTACAGAGACAACATATTACAGTCTTGCATGTACTCCTGGGCAGCCAGGTACCCGTTGCGGCATCCAATGTGTAAAGGTACTTGGAGCAGCTTTAACAAACTCTTTCTGGTCCTCTCTTCTCAGGAGTATTTCATGGAGCAGCTGCGAGTGGAGGGCGTGACCCACCTGCCCAGGACAGTGACCAGCGACGTCAACAGCGCCGAGCGCTATAATGTCTACACTGAGGGAGGGGTGCTGTTTGTCACCAGCAGAATCCTGGTGGTCGACTTCCTCACTGACCGCATCCCTGCTCATCTCATATCAGGTCAGATATGAGATCATGGCTGAAATAAAAGCCATGTTTCATTTCTTTTCTTTACACATTGTGATTTGTTCATCCTTTGATATTATGTCAGTTATTACAAATTTGTATACGCCCGCTTATATTTCTTAATGGCCTTAACGCAGGATTGATAATTGATACAACAGAACTTTTAACATATGATCTGTTGGCTTCGGCCTGGTTAAGGGGAACAGTAGTAATCTTAAAGACACCAGGCCCCGGTTTTCAAGCATGATGTCACTCACAATTTGATTGACAGGTCTTTTAATATGGGGACTAACAAGAGAGACAAGTTTATATTTTTCTCTGAATTTGCTACTAGAACAAATCCGCCGATATCTTTAAATATTTGTACAGATTGGCTGAAATACATTTTATAACAAGATTTGAACGTTAAGTTTAAAGGTTATTAAACAATAAAACCATTTACATCAAAACCTTTTATTAAGGGATGTAGTATTGATTGATGGCTGCATTACATTTTTTTTTTTTTTTTTAGTTTTCTGTTCACTCAGAGTGGTTTTAGTACCAAACAATAACCCAGACTGTCTTTCCATTCCACCCCCTCAGGCATCCTGGTGTATCGTGCTCATAAAATCATCGAGTCGTTTCAGGAGTCCTTTATCCTTCGTCTTTTCAGACAGAAGAATAAGACAGGCTTCATTAAGGCCTTCACTGACAAGGCCACGTCCTTCTCCTCGGGCTTCTGCCAGGTGGAGCGTGTTATGAGAAACCTGTTCGTCAAGAAGCTCTACCTTTGGCCCAGGTATGACCGAACATAATAGACCTATTTCACTGCATACATTTAAACGTATCATAGCGGGAGAAGCTCATGTGTAACTAAATAAAGACTGGATTCCTCCCTCATCCTTCTTTACCTTCACTTTCTTAACCTGCTTCATTCAACAGGTTTCAAGCATCAGCAAACACTGCACTGGACAGGCACAAGCCGGAGGTGGTGGAGCTCCATGTGTCACTGACGCCTGCTATGAGGGCCATCCAGAGCTCCATCCTGGACATCATGAGCGCCTGTCTGAAGGAGCTGAAACGCTACAACCCCACCCTGGATGCTGAGGACCTCTCAGTGGAGAACACGCTAGGCAACGGTTTCGAAAAGGTCTGTCACTAATGACATAGATTAAGATGCTTTGGTATGGAATTTGATGTTACATTTAAAAAAAAAAAAATCTGCTTCTGTTTGGCCTCTTATAATGGGAACAAGAAAAAAACGTAATAAAAAGCAGACACACGTGCCATTCTTTATGGTCGATCTTTTTCCTCTTAATGGGTGTCGATGCTAAATAGTGAGATGAGACGCCTGAATTTGCACCCAAAAATACTATTAATGCTTTTATGTTTTTTGTTAAAACATGACCCAGAATGTTATACCCGAGTAATGCTAGGACTAAAGATATTTAACACACCTTCTGTTGGTGTCCAACAACTGTAGTTTAATTCATTTTTAAGGTTGTGTTTTCCTTCCTCCCATCCAGACCATCCGTCACTACCTGGACCCCTTGTGGCACCAGCTGGGAGCGAAGACCAAGGCCCTGGTCCAGGACCTGAAAGTGCTGAGGGTTCTCCTGCTCTACCTCACACAGTACGACTGCGTCACCTTCCTCAATCTGCTCGAGTCGCTGCGCTCCAGCCAAAAGATCTTTGGATCCAATTCAGGTAAAACTAGAACTTATTCGGAAGTACCTAGGGTAAAAAGTAGTACCTAATTATTGTGATTAATCAGCTTTATTCATGTTTGATTGCATGCACCTGTTGTTGTAACCATCAGGGTGGCTGTTCCTCGACTCCAGTACCTCCATGTTTATGAATGCCAGGGGTAGAGTGTACCGCATCCCAGAGAGCAAGAAGAAACTCAAAGTGGGAGCGGAGGTGGAGAAACAGTCATCCTCTGCCTTAGGTAACTGACCAACGAACAGGTCTCTGACAACAAGTTCTTCAGAGTGGATATACACAACGGTATCTGCTTGTATGTGCATCGATGTGGGAATGACTAAAGGCTGAGTGTGTGTGTGTGTGTTTCAGAGGTGAAGAGGGAACTGGTGCTGGAAAAAAGCCCCAAGTGGGAGGCTCTGACTGAGGTGCTGCAGGAGATTGAGAGGGAGAACAAGAGCTCTCAACATGACCCAGGTTAGAGCTCAGTTCTGTTAGAGCGCTATAAGAGTCCCTCGTGTCAACAGTGAATGTCATCGCTATTCTATAGATTTGCATATAATGAACTATAGTAACAGAGTCTCATAAAAAATACCTTTTAGTTTCCAAAAGGTGAATTTGAAATGACAAAATGCCGACTATGGGATAGGGCTTTCTTCTCCTAGACATTTTTGCTTGTCAAAGCAAGAAATAATAATATTAAAGATGGCTGCATTCCATTTAGGTGTGCTAGTAAGCCTGTGATTCTGAACCAGGGGTACAGTACTTGTACCCCCAAAGGGTGCTTCTGCATTTGATGAGGGTACACAGACAGATTGTGGAGTAATGTGAAAAAAATAGAGATCACAATTTGACTGATTCAGCTGCAACACCGGAACATATACCTGTGTGAGTCCCAATATCCACCGTTCTCTGTATATGATGATGATGATTCACTAATAATAACAGTTAACAGACGGATGTACACACTCTTCTGACCCTGGTGTCTAACTGCCTAACATGCCCCCCCCCCCCCCAGGCCGTGTGCTGATCTGTGCCAGTGATGACAGGACTTGTGCCCAGCTTCAGCAGTACATCAAGCACGGCTCTGACTGGATGCTGAACCGACTGTATGTCCGCACAGTCGGTAAACGGGACTCTGCTGCGGCCGCTGCAATGGCACTCGAATCGCACAAAAGGGGCCTCGGCTGGCCTAAAAACGGAGCCACGGGAAAGGAGCCCGCACAGAAGAAAAAGTCCACGAAGAGTAAAAAAAGGCCATCCTTGACCCTGACCCAGATGATGGGGAAAGAGATGGACGAAGCAGCGGCGATGGGCAGCAGTGGAGATGAGGGGGACCCAATGGAGGAGGATGGCGGGGAGGAAGAACAGCTGAAGCTGGATTTGTCGTCGGATGCCTACTACGGTGTCCTAAAGGAGCCGCTAACTGTCATTCACCCGCTTAAAGGTCTCACTGACCCCCACAGCTTGACGCGGGTGCTGCATGAGGTGGAGCCCAGTTTCGTGGTGCTGTACGACGCTGAAATCAGCTTTGTGCGCCAGCTGGAGATCTACAAAGCTAGCCGGCCTGGAAAGACACTAAGGGTGTATTTCCTCATCTATGGAGGCTCGACAGAAGAACAGAAGTACCTGACGGCGCTGGCCAAGGAAAAGAGAGCCTTCGAACACCTGATCAGGTCAGAACCATTTCCTTCTCCTCCTGAACCTCGGGAGCATCTTTTGGTGTGTGTTTTGGTGATGTGTCTGCTTCTCCTTGGTGCTTATGTGTGTGTTTCTCTGCAGGGAAAAGGCTACTATGGTCATCCCAGAGGAGAGGGAGGGGCGACAAGACACCAACCTAGACCTTGCTAGAAATTTAGAGCCTGCCAATGCCACCACCAACACCCGCAAAGCAGGCATGTCTATTTTAATCATGTTCTCTGTTTTTATATATTTTTTTTATTCACTTTGAATTTGACAGTTTCCTTTATTTATCCTTATAAAAGAAAGTCCCACATTTTCTTGAATAAGTGTCTCATTGTTTTGTGTTTCTTATCTCCTGTCCAATAACCAGGAGGCCAGGATCAGCCCAAGGAGCCCTCCCGAGTCATTGTCGACATGCGCGAGTTCCGCAGTGAATTGCCCTCTATGTTGCACCGCCGTGGGCTGGACATCGAGCCCGTCACCTTGGAAGTAGGTGACTACATCCTGACCCCGGACACATGCGTGGAGCGCAAGAGCGTCAGCGATCTGATTGGCTCGTTGCAGAGCGGCCGCCTCTACACCCAGTGCCTCTCCATGACCCGCTACTACAAGAAACCGGTGCTTCTCATCGAGTTCGACCCTGCAAAACCCTTTTCCCTAATGGCCCGATCAGATTTCCGTCACGAGATATCGTCGACTGATGTTTCTTCAAAACTCACGTTGCTCACCTTGCATTTCCCCCGGCTGCGTATACTCTGGTGCCCCTCCCCACATGCCACAGCTGAGCTCTTCCTGGAACTGAAGCGAGGTCGCTCTGAACCCGATGCTGCAGCGGCTCAGGCAGTCACAGCCGAGTCAGACATGGTGGCTGAATCGGCGGAACTGTACAACCCCGGACCTTACGACTTCCTGTTGAAAATGCCTGGGGTCAATATAAAGAACTATAGGGCTCTTGTAAAAAATGCAGACAACCTGGCAGATCTATGCAAACTCAGCCAGGACAAGCTCGCAGAATTACTAGGCAATGCTAACAACGCTAAGTCGCTGTATGAGTTTCTGCATAATGTCGCCGATGTCCCTGCTCCTGTGCAGAAGGCCAAAAAGACATGAAAGGCAGTAAAGAAATTGAATTTCCCTAAGAGGGATAATTAAATGTATATAAATGTAGTTTTCCTGGTGTCAGGAATAGTTTTGCATTGTAAAGTTGGATGACGATGGCGTGATGTAGAATGTTGCAGACTGAATTCACATCTTATATTTGTACGGCATGAGTCTTTGTCATCAAACGTGAAATGTGTTTTATATTAATGTACAGAATGAACTGAAATAATGCAGTTTCTTTCTATTGTATTTTGTAAACTACTCTGAAATGGTACTTTTATTAGTTGTTTTTTATCTTGGCAAAAATAAATAAAGTCTGAATATTTTTTAATTGTTTTAAATAACCTTTCTTTCAAAATAAAGCTTTCTGGAACAACACCTTTTTTATAACCCTAAAGGGCAGAAAGTTAAATGTAAAGCTTTTATGTTTTTTTATGTATTATTTACTCCAGTGTTCCTGTCCTTCATACCTTAAATCCACACTCCACAGGTGTTTGACTTCTTGCAAAATGGAACCACACAAACCAGTGCTTCATAATTGTACTTAACAGTATTTTATAAACTCTGCTTTAATGTACTTTTTTTTGCCTACTCTTACCATGACTTGTATTTTCTAAAGTAGTCATTTTAAAGGTTCCTTACTAAAGTGCTGAACTACACTTGACATCACCCATTCCAGAGCATGGTAGTGCTCTTGTGCTCAGTATCTGATGCACTCCTTCAGTATGAAGTACTTTCCCTCCAGCAAATGGTCAGTTAGTGAAGCACACAGGAGTAATCTGGCTCTACCGTGTACATTTAACTTCTTTAAGTAAACTCTAACATAGAAGAAACGGAACACAGTAGTAATGACATGTTGTCCTGTGCATTTAGTTTTAATAATCCCGGGTGTCTATTTCAAGATACCAACTTGTGGTTACTTGGCTGAGGATTGCTTTAGTTTCACCACACTTTATTTCATGCTCGGAGGTAAAGATGTCTGATTTTATTGTCCTGGTTGTGGATGTCCACCAGGTTCACGGCCGGAAGTTATGCAACACTAATGTTACCAAATCATATGTGACGACAAAAAAAAACACGTGGATTTCAAATATAAATCCGTGGAGGTGTTGAATTGTAGTTGGAGTAACACCGGCTCCACTACCCCCCCTCCCCTCGAGGCTTCCTAAACCACAGCGTCATTACGTCACTCTGCATCCGAACCGAGACCAGTCGCAGCCATTTTACTCCGCGAAATAAACTTCAATCCCACAGCTAGGGGGGGAGAAAAACAACATACAGAAGATAATTCCGCTGACACCAATGGACATCTTACTGTGAACCAGAGCTCGGACAGGTTTGGGCTTCGAGTCTTCACATTTCGGTAAGACCACAGTCCCCGCGCGACGCTGTCTTGTTTTTAGCATGTTAGCGAGCTAAACCCGAGCTAACTAGCGAACTGTGAAGAAGAGGTTGTTGAGAATTATTCGCGGTATGCAGACAGAGACAGCTGACGAGGCTGTGCGGTAAAAACGTGGACGACAAGGGTTTTACTGTAACAAACGTTGAGATATGTTTAGTCCGAGGAATGATGTCCACGGAAGCGCATCATCGTCCTTTATGATTGGTGGCGTTACTGTCCCCAACTCACCTGTCAGATTTAAAGTAGCGCTAGCTAGCCCACGTTAGCTCATCCCACACCCACCCATCTCCTCCACTGCGATAACAGGGGCTGTGGTGGAGCCCACGGCCATCTCACTCAATAATAACTTTAAAATGTGTTCTTGCCGTTTGAACAAGCTAGTTGTCACGTTATTTGCGAGTGCTGTGTTCGTGTGCTGCGTGTTTATTTCAGCCATTTGCTCTCTGGACGCTGCGGCATGGCAGACGGTGTAATTGTGAATCTGCAGCCGTCTTACTCAGGAAATACTATCCACCACACGCGCGGTGTAATGAGGCTCCGCTGGCAGTCACACAAACGCGATGATGTTATCTTATTGACCTAACGACTGAAGCGAGGAAAGTGAGGTAACTTTAGTGGCGCTGCAGTAAAACCGGTCGCGGTAGACCTACGGGATGTGGTGCCACAGGCGGCCCTATCCAGTCAAAGTCTGTCACCGAAAAGTGTGAATTATTAGTATTAACTTAAACGCTGTGCTTATGGTTTGGATGGGAAAGTAATTATCCCAATGTCCTCTCCGATTACTTCAGAGTGGAGTTTCCACGTTACAATGTGTGTTTGCATACTCTAGTACCCTATTTGTGTCCACACATCTTAAAAATGGTGCAATATCTGACTCCCCCCCCCCCCCTGCAGTGATTGTGGTAAATCAGACTGCACTGAGTTGCAGGGGTTAATAGCCCTGTCATGCTACTCTCACTCAGAACAACATGCCACCCAGGGAAGTTCTTTCTGATTTGTTTATAGTCCTCCTACTTTACATTACCAGCCTACATACTTCTTCATGGCAGGCTGCACTCACTGTTGAAGTTTGGCTGTGTAGCTTCTTCTCTTAGCTGAGACTGTCCCATGGTGTTTGGCTTCCAGCCATTGATCCTTTTGTACCGTTTCTTATTAGAAGTTTTTTACTTCAGCTAAGTCCACAAAGGCAGGAAACGACACCACACGTGCGTGTGTGTGCGTGCGTGTGTGTGTGTCTGTGCGTGTGTGTGTGTCTGTGGGAACTGAACAGAACAAGTGACTAGTGAAAGAGCCACAGTGATGACATCATTTCTGTCTTATCTCTGGATAAAAGAGGACATTTTTGTTGGAACCAGACGTGGTCTATTTAAGGCCCAGGATACTGCAGACTGGAGTGGTTCTCATGCTCTTTGCTTGTGCTTGTGTGTATATATGGTACAGCTAGTTGATATTAGCAATGTTAACTATCCAAATATTATTTATTTGGATGTGAAACCCTTATTATACATCATAATGGACACAATGGATAAGATGATTTTATAAGAAGATTCCCAGTCATCCAGGACATAACTGTAGAATATCTAGTTTTTAGCTTTAAGATTGTCGGCCTATATAAATGTGCTGCCTCAGGGTTTCGTCACAACATGTTCTGTTTTTCCATAGACAACTGTCAGTGGTGCGTTCATGTTGTTTTAACAGAAACCAGACCTCATGACAGTTTGATTTATTAGCTCTTCGACTAAGGCGGCAGTTTTCAATTATCTCATGCTGTCATTCACAGTGCATCTCCAAGGAGCACAATAACATTTTACAAAAACTTTTACCTTCATTTAAATGACTGATTTCACGTTGAGCTACATTCCTGCTAATTAACACACATTTGCTTCAAAATGAGACTTAAAGTAAGATTCTCCTTAACACACATTCAGTACATTTTCATTTGGCAAAATAAGTAATACACAGTATGTTACTCTTCTTGTCTGGACCGCGGCCGTGACATTCAGGAACGTTTTTCCCGGGCTCATCAGAAGGGTGCTCGCAACACAGCCCTAGTGCTGGAGGGTACTTTATCACGTGAAGGCTTCACAGCCGGGCCTGTTCGTAGCCAAGTTGACCCACGACTACGTAGTGTGCAGAGACCAAGTGGTGGTATCTCTGTGTTTGTTACTGAGATACGTTCCTATTCCATTGAATGGCTTCAAAATTATTCCCTGATTGTTTTGCTGAAAACAGGATTATGAAATAATAATAATAATGCATTTTATTTGGATAGTGCTTTAAAAGGTACTCAAAGGTACTTTACATGGTAAAGACAGAAACAATAAAATACTGGTTAGACGTTGAATATTGTTTCGCATCCTGAATCCACACCCACATGTGAGGTTATGTATTTTTCATTGAATCCTGTCTTGAGACACTCAGGCAGATGTTTGCCCTGCAGTAGAAGGTCATAAAGCCTTTCACCTGCACTGCACTGTGTCTCAGCCAAGCCTTTTATATTGTTCTGAGAGAGAGAACCTCGGGGGGGTAGACACACCCAGATACTGTCACTGCACTGCTTATATGTTGACTCAAACCATTACCTAGTTGAACTCTGATCCTCAAGTGCTGCAGAAAATATAGCACAGATGAAACCCAACACCAGTTTTTGTTTTCAGTTAATCACAGAATCCACCCTGGTTGATTTGGCACGGCCTGAGATGACCGCTCCACAATAAGCATCGGTAATGTCTGTGGAGGAATACCTTCACACCACCATCAAACTGAAGTCTGGGTTAATGGCCGTGTTAACCAGAAAGTATTTTTAGCTTTTCCAGTGAGAGCGCAGCGATAGGAAGATGGCTCGGTTAGTCAGTTTGTTGCCTCTTTTGACTTTTCAGGCACTTACAGGTTGTCCACTTTGAGTGACTTTCTAAGTATTTGACCGATACTCCGACCGCCTCGCTAGCTGTTCAAATGCTGATTGAAGATTAACTTTTTGTTGCCTTCTGACAATCATTGTCTGTGTGGCGCTGACTCCCCATACCGGTGTTGTTTTGTACTAAATGCAATAAACAGGGTGGCTCAGTTATGTCTACGTGGATCACTTTCTTCCTTTGTCTCAATGACATGTTGAGGAGACCAGGTCACGGGTTGTTGACAACACATTCAGCAAGAAAGCCGACTACGTGCTGGCAGGAAAGGGAAGCGTATGTTTGCATGTGGTTGCACAGTCTAATGTTGATCATTTGCCAAAGTGTGGGGGCCACTGCAATCACATCACCTGTGTCAGGTTTGAAATACCAAATGCACCCAGTGGCAGAAAACAACAGCACTGCTTCGCAACAGAATAATATAATAGAGCCCACATCTGACTGTAGTAGTGCGTTCACTGGTTTGTGTGCGCTGTATGTATTACCCTTTGATGAAACACACGGTGCTTGTTGCCATTAAAAAGGAGCAGAGCTGCAGGCAGCGCCCGCCTCTGGATCCGCTCTTTGATTCTGCTGCTTAAGCTCTGCTGTTTATCTCACAGCGCCCCGTCAGCCGTGACAGTTGTTTGTTCCTTCGTCTCTCTTTTGCAGCCCACTTTCTCTCGCCCTCACCCACCATCATTTCGCCCCAACACACATATACACGCAGCATGTAGTGCTCTGACTGTTGGAATCTGTCTGACTTTTCCTGTCTTTTATTCCCGCCAATTGAAATTAATTTACCGTCAAATCAATGGTTTCGACGAAGATGTGTTTTACTGGAGAATACTGTATTTCTTGAGGAAATGTTGCAAAAGCAGTATCTGGAAATCATAGCCCGAAAAACAGAAGCACAATATGTATGATGCTGTGGTCAGGGAAGAACCTTCCTAAACAAACATAACGTAAAAATATCAGATTTGTAGTACAGGACCATTGCCTGCCCTGAGTGTCAGTAAATTGACACATCAATAAATGTGATGTGTTTATGTTAAGCACATGTCCTGAAAGCTTCTGTGTGTGCAGTGGATTGATTTTTATTTTCCGAGAGTCTCTCTCTCTCACTGCAGCATGATGCGGCACTACAACTCTTTGATCATCCGTACGAAGATGTTTCTATTGTCTCTGCATGGATCACCCACTTCCATTGTCATAGAGACCGCTGCAGGTTTTCCTAGCAACCCGTGAACTTACATTTTCAGACCCTGAGTGTCGGCCAGTTTCATTCAGGCATCTTTTAGTGGTACTCTTCATCTGTTTTATTCTCCACTTATCTTCAAGCACACTTATGCAAGCAACATTGGTGTCTGGTTCGGCACTGTGTTTGTGTTTTTATCTCACTATTTTAAATGTTTAGTGTAATATTACATCAGTTTCTTGTAGTTGCTCCTCCTTATGTACTCTTTAAAATGTATTTAAAATGTATTTGTGGGATGTATAATACCGCAGCTTTTATATGTATGAAATATTTTGTCAACTTCCAATGACAAAAGTTATTTCTGGGCCGAGTCGTACCTACATAGACTCACTTTAGAGACTGAAAATGAAGACGTTACAGGACTGAACATGCATCTAGAGGTAAATCCTGCTGGCTCATCTCCTTGAGTTGCGTTTGTGATACTCCTGTCTGTCTGCCTGCCTGCCTGCCTCCCCCCCACCAGGTTTGACTCCATGGCTTAGCGTGGCTCTCGACAGCCACTAGCCCGAAAGTCGCTGTCCTCTGCCACTACAGGTAGACAATGGCCGCATCGACTGAAAGACTATTATTCATTCATCAACAGTAAACAATTGTAGTAAACAATTGCCAGCCAAGCCTTCTTATAGTTAAGGATTATTCTGCAGTGAAGAATGAAATCCAGTATCTGCATGGTTGATAAATGTCATTGCTCAATGCTCTCCACTGAAAGACAACCTGAGAGAGATGACTGTTGACCAGAGTCCATGCGTGTAGACTCTCTAACGGCTTTGGCTTGGCCTAGAAAAGACAAAGCGAATGGCCTCACAGCACAGGATGCGTCCTTTGATCGTTATCTGAAGGAAGTACACGCTACAGAGCAGGTCACTGATGCGGCCACTGGAGATCTGTTACTGCAGTTCTGTCGCAGAGAACATCAGCGCCTGAGTAACGTCTGTAGCTCAGTTCTTAGTGGCACTTCGTCACCATTAAGGGGCCAGAAAGTGGCTGCGGGTCAGATGCCAATCTTCAGGGTCATTTTGCAGTGGTCGCCAGATTCAACATGAACCAATTCTGATTGGCCGGTGAATGCCAAGTAAACAGGGTTTGACTCTCATGTTAGTACTCGATGTCTGATTGGTTGGTCTGAATCCACGCTCCCGAAATGTCACAGATGTTATAGCAGGTTACAGTTACTACAAAGTACACCAGAAAGTCCTAAAGACAGAGGCGTCGCATCTAAAACTGACTGTGAAATACTTCCTTCTAGTTCCATTCATCATGTAAAGTTCATCTGGTACGAGTGTTTATAATTCTGTCTGTGAACAGCGTCCCAACAGTACAAGAAGCTCACGAAACTCAACAGGTGTGTAGTTGAGATGAAAATGAAGGTTGAGTTCGTAGATGGGCGTGGTCTGAGAATGGGGCCATTGTCTCCTCCACTTTATGCCCCTGGCAAACTTTAAAGGTGTGTAGTTGACATTCAAATTAAGTCTGAGTTTGAAGATGTGTGTGTGGTCTGAGTAAGGCCTCCGTAAGAAAGGAGGGGGTATGAAGTTGGGAGGGGGCCCCAATTAACACTCCTGGTCCTATTTGGCATCGCGGCTGGTGTGACCTGTTGCAAGATGGACTCTAGTTCTTACAAGGTTTGAGTTTTATGCCCTTATTTGTGACATGCACGTTCATGTATGGCTAAGCTAATTATTTATAGTTTCAAAAAATAATTTGGATTGTCATTGGTTGTTTTGATTGTTAAAATAAATAAGGAAAAAAAGATGGAAGAAAAAGCAAAAATATATTTTTTGAAGAAATAACATACCAGTCTTCTTTTCACTTACTTTTCCAGAATTCCAGCGGCTTAATTAAGTTTTCTTTAAACATTTTCTACCCACTTTCTGTTACCACAGAGAGATATAAACCTATCATTGAGAAAGACCATGTTTGGCGTAAACTGCAGTGATCACTAGTCAGAGAAAAGCCATACAGATTACCGTACAATCATTAAAAGCAGAACACGAGATGATGAAACATGGGCTTTAGGACTTGTTGTGTTTGGACACATAGCATGACCTCAGCAACCAGAATGGACAACATTCAGACATGTTGAAACCCAACGAGTCCAGTTCGGTCCGGAGTCTCCCTGGTCCGTCTAATGCCTTTTGGCACTTTGAGGACCTACAGGGAGAAATATCAGCAGCCATAGGAACAAAGTGGTTCTCAGCCAAGAGCAACACATCAGGGTGGTTAGTAAAGAGTGCGGAGGTCCTGTGGGTGATGCTGAAGAGCGATAAATAGCATGCATGTCCAGACTGCGCAGCCTGTCGTCTGCTGCTTAAGAGGCTGTTGGGAAGCCATGGATACTGAACTGTTTGTTTTGCTCCCCGAAATGTTTCCGTTCCCCCTGTTTTTGAAACGGCCACAGCGACGTCATATTCCAGATTATGTCTGAACAGAGAGAACATTCATGGACAAGCTGGCGTTGTTTCGCACGAGCAGCGGTTCGAAGCGATTATTCACTATAATAGCCGACCCAGCTCGTTTAATGAATAATTCGGGCTGTGACTGAGCTCTTCCAGATGGCCCAAATGAAATGCCACCCGTAGCATTTCACCAGTTTGGTGAAGTAGTCATACCAACAGGATGATGGTTGTTATTCTGAATTACTGACGAGGAGCCCTCAAAATATCCTTGAGTGTAGTCGTCCTACATTTCCCTCAAACTCCTCACTCTCCCTTCTTGTTTCTTGTGTCCACGCAGGTAGCGGCAAAACCAGAGGGGGCCGTGACCCATACCCCCCCCCCCCCCCCCCCCCCCCCTGCTCTTCCCCCCCCCCCCCCCCCCCCCCCCCCACCGTCTTGTTGCTTGCCTCCCCTCCCGATGCAACATGGAGCTCCAGGTGTCCTACGGGCTGCTGGGATCAGAGGGGGATTGCGAGATGTCGAGTCTGCTGTTGCCCAGTCCCCAGAGCGAGGCGGTTACCCATGAGATGGAGGAGCTGTCGCTGCAGCCTCTGCCTCCACTCAATGAACGCAAAAATGGTGAGGAAACACTGCCGAACAAGCCCGTCACGGCACGCCGAGACAGGAGATACATTAAACAAGCCACCATGGTGAAAGAGTGACCAAAAGAGATTTCAATTTTCAAAAAATAGAAAAAAAAATGTATTGGGGGTTAAAAATGAACAACTGTCTCACTGAAATCCCACATACATCAAACTCAAACTTGACAGATAATATACAGTATAATAACATTATGCTCCTTGCCTGTTGTTGCAACTCCTCCTGCATGCTGACACTCACAGCAGCCCCGTTTTATCCTTAAATACCCTCAATACTTATATGGCCTCCACACTATTCATGCATGCACACAGGCACATGCTGCATACCTAACTATTAAGTTCAAAATGGGCCATAAAAGTGAGTGAAACTTCCATCAGCTTTTTGTTTTCAACATTATTCCAGCATCTTCATCATGTGAGCCAGCCAACATGTTGGCTTCTCATTAGACTCACGGTGCTGGTGTTGCTCTGGCAGCCGCACGGCCCTGACTCAGACACTGATGGATGGATATGCGATTACCAGGCTTTAGGAGTGGGGTAGATGCTGCCTTTGCCAGTTCCTAATCGTGGCTTAAGACAGTTTAGGGAGATCAGTTCAGTGCAGTCACTGTGATATTGGTCACTATGCTTGTATATAAAATCCAGTTTGTCAGATACAGTCCACAAAACTGTTCAGCCAGAGCTATGAGATTAAACACTTTTTGGATAATTCTGGGATTTTGTGCACGGCGGCGGCTGCTGCTGTCTACACCAGAGCACAATAACACTGACTCGACGGTGGAACATTTTTCTTTTTTGTGGAATGTCAACAGTAGCAGCGCCCACTCATCATCTCGGCTTTTGTCATTTCCCTTCTAGTGGGAACACACACCTCATACTTTCCACACTCTAAGCCATCCCCAGCTCTTTGCCAACCGCAGAGTACCCCCTCTCACATGTTGGTTTTAACATGCAGGTGTTAATCTGTCCACCATCATGACAGGTCCGAGTGTCTAAGACCACTTCGGTTGTGTACAGCAGGAGGCTGCAGCTCAGAGAGTCTGGAGGGAGAGAGGAGAACTGCTCGGTCAGCAGTCTGGGACGTGAAGACTCGGGGCTCGGGGTCTGTTGTGACGGGGAATGAGAGTCTGGCCAGAAAGAGATTAGCCTATTATGTGAAATCAATATTATTATTGATAACTGCAGAGCCTGCTAAGAGGATGAAGAAGTGCAAAAAAGTTAGTTAGGGGGGTTACTTCCCAGAGTAGAAGGCAAACTTCGCGAATGTTGTCTGTAATTAACTCATGACATGTTGTTGATGAAATCACAATTTTAAGCATTGGCTGCTTTTTCTGATGTAAGCGTTCGACACACATGATGTGTTCATGGACCGTTGGAAACCATAATGACTGTTGAATGAGTGTATTCCGTCATATGGCCATCAGTGCTCCAGTAATAAAGAGGAAAGACGACAAATAAAGACGAAAAATGTTGCGAAATTCCTGGGAGCTACCGGCCCTAGCGTGTACATGCGCTGCCGTTGCCTCTTGTTTCCGGTCTTTATGCTAAGCTAAGCTAGCTGGCTGCTCGCTCTTTCATATTGACCAGACAGATTTGAAAGTTCATCTTCCTATTTAATGCGCAACAAGAAAACAAATAAGTGTATTTCCAAAAATGTCAAAACTATTCCTTAGTAATGCATCATGTCATTTTTATACCACTTATTGTTTGCTTCCCATATGTCATCAGCTGTGTTTTGCCTTGTCTTATTTCTATATTATATTAAACCCTTTAAATCTACTTCAGTTCACTTGTTAACTGCAGTGGAAACAGACACGTTTCCATGCTAGCCTGTGATTCCTCCATTGACCTGCTGACTGCGTGCCTGTCACTGTGTGCATAAACAGCTCAGTCATGTCATCCGCCTCTCTCCTCCACCTCTCTAGTTCACAGGTCAACATGTGCGCGTCAGGCTGAGCAGCGTTTCCCGGAGGAACTTAGGACAATGCCACTGACTGGAAGTCTATGTCACTGACTGGAAGTCTATGTCACCTTAAGCAAACATGTCCCCTCTGCATATCTTTCTCCAACTATTCAGTGTAGTTGGGGTCCAAATTAGGCCTGTGGCGATCGGATCGTATAGCGACAATTGAAGGGATGGTTTTCCCTATGCCGATATTAGCTCATTGTTACTATGAGAACTAAGACGTTATAAAAATAATCTCTAGCATCTGCTCCGATGTTGAGCGAGAATAGATTTCTGTAATTGTTTAACCTCAGCCCTTGTTGGAATTAAACCTCCAGTACGCCATGTATGCAAAAGGTTATGTCATATTGATGTGTGACAGTTTGGGGGGGGGGGGGGGGGTTAAAAATGTGAAGTTGGTTGGGCCACCTGTTTCCTGTTGGACCAAGAGTTATTGTCTCCCTGTAAGCTTTGACGCATCCCTTCATATGAATGGGGAAGTGTCTATATTCACAGCTCTTATTTAATTCGTGCAAATCCACAACTCCTCCCACTTACTGTGACACATCCATATGTTGTAGACCCTCTAACAAAGTAACGCTATAAAACACTGTTCATCTTTTCAGCTTGCAGACGAAGTTGTTATTGTCCTTTGTCTTTAGTCAGTGCTGACTCAGACTCTCGACTATTCCTCTAAAGTTACAAGGAAGCTGTGTAGACGTCACATCAGGCTGCGTTGGGATCGCCTACAGCCAGGAAATAAGCCGTCCCAAACTGGCCGAGAGAGAGGGGGGAGTAAGAGCAGGGTGGTGGGGCGGGGTGGGAGGTGGCCCTGCTGTAAAAAAAAAAACAGTCTGGGAGGAGTGCAGGACGGGCCTAATGTTGCTTCTCTAATCCTAAGAAGCTGTGGATTCCTACCATTCGGCTGATCATATTGCACCGCGGCTGAGAGATGATGCGTCTATAAGTTACATATTTTAGGCTTTCATACAAGACTGTCACCCTGGGGTGAAATGGCTTAATCACTCGGTTGTATTTTGGACTGCTCTATAGGCCAGGACTCTCACACTCAGACAATGGCCTATACGGAGGTAGAGACCCCCACTGACCGCTGCACTAGGTTCAGAGCAGGTGAGCACTCCTCTTCTTTGTTGTTATGCTCATTTTTCCACTCGAGTAGGCATATGCTGTTGCAGGCTTGTCCAGGACTTCTGGAAGTTTTTGTGGGTTAATAAAACAAAAGCCCACCTTTATAAACAGATGGAAATAAAGGGATGAAATAAATGATAATGAGATCTAATATTTTGGTGGTGGATGTCCGTCTTTGCTTCTTCTGATTGCCTTCCACCGTTGCTTTGATTTTGGGGTATCAGTGGTCCAGATGTAAACAGCATGTGAAATGTCATACCCTGGTAAACAAAGGCTTACGTAAACATAATGAAACACCATCACAGCCTTAAACAGCTACTGAGGACTTGCACTAGTAAAGCCCTCAGGATAAGACTGAAGTCTGTTCCCTTCTCAGCTTTTTAAATTTTATTCCCTATTTGTACACAATACCTCATTGTTCTGTCTGCTTTCACTCATTTGTCTTCTCATGTTTTTTTTAACTTATAGAACTTTATATTCTATGTACTTATATTACAATCCAAATCACTCTGTTTTTCTTTAATAATATTTCTTGTTTGCAGTCCTGCAGTTGAGGCTTCAGCAAAGGCGAACCCGGGAGCAGCTGGTGGACCAGGGCATCATGCCACGTGAGTGTCCATCACTGAAAAGCTGATGCAGTGTGTATGATGGCTGAGATAATCAACATGTTTGCTCTTTTTCTAGATCGTTTGTTTTTAATATTGTGCTCCGACTTTTGCATTTATGAAAATGTAATGTGTTGCAGCTCTGAAGAGCCCGGCAGCTTTCCACGGGCAGATTCGCAGCTTGGAGAGAGCCAGGGTATGTTGGAAACAAGGTGCTAGCTGTGGACTTGAGAGGCAGAGGAAATAAACTCCTGGACCGTTGTGTGGCATGAACATTCAGATGATTAACTGACTGCCTGTCTTTCTCTTCAGACTGAAAATTTCCTCAAGCACAAGATCCGCAGTCGTCCAGAGAGAGCAGAGCTGGTCAGGATGCACATCCTGCAAGGTACTGGTGATCCTCTAGTTCTCACTACCAACACTTAAAGTATTATCTGGTGTTCCATGTGGACTTTTTTTTTTAAGCATAATAGAATTCCAGTTGGCATCAGACACGATGCTATTAACAAACAAACAAATACTTTTCTAGCCAGCGCCGCAAACAAGAAATTGTCAAACTGAAGTTTTACAGTTTTTTGTTTTTTTTTAAATCTTTTATTGTTCTGCAGAGACCGGAGCAGAACCCTCATTACAGGCCACCCAGATGAGACTGAAGAGGGCGCGGCTGGCCGACAATCTGAACGAGAAGATCGCCCAGAGACCCGGCCCTCTGGAGCTGGTGGAGAAAAACATCCTGCCTGTGGACTCCAGTGTGAAACAGGCAATCACCGGTGAGACGCAGAGAAACAGTGATGGTAAAACGATTAATGTTGCCGTATTAGACAGCCAGTGCAATTGTTTTTAAGAGCCTTGATGGACAGTATCAGGAAGAAGTCATGTTTGATCAGCCGTGCAGGGAATTGGGACAGAAATGATGATAAAAGTTGTGTATTACTTGCACAGAGATACAAAAAAACAGTGAGTGATTAAGTGCTGGACTTTTTGTTGTTGTCTGTCAGTGGGTACGGTGAATTATCCGAAAGTGTTGGATGAAGACAGCTGCGATGCCCTGTCCCCAGAGCATCTAGCCAGCCAGGAGTCTCAGACTCGTGTCCCCTCTCCCGTGGAGATCAAAGTGCCAGAGACGCCTTCTGTAGTCCCAGCACCACCGGTACCCAGCACCCCGCTGCAGGTCAGATACAGGACTAGTAAAACATGTGTTTGTGTGTGCCTGCTCTAATAGCCCCGGGTCTTTATACCTTCAAACCTCATAACGGTGTTCATTCAAAGTTCAGTGTTTGCTTTGCAGTGATTGGTGTCTTTCTGTTGTTTCTTCAGACCTTCCCAGTCGCTACTCAAGCAACAACAGACTTTGTGAAAGTGATCTCTGCGATTGAACAGCCTGCCAGCCGCCCAGCTGTCCCTCCGGCACAGCCAGTCATCCCAGCTGCTATTTTAAAGCCAGGCCCAACACTGGTGAAAGTAAGAGCGTTTTTTTACCACCTCTAAATTCAATATATTTCTGTAATATTTGAATACTGCTGGACAGAATGGTGCGTTTCTTTTTGTTTCCTCCCACAACAGCAAAGTCAGCAGAAGCATCCGTCAGAGAAGAGCCGCAGTAAGAAGGGCAAGGAGCCCAAGTCCAGAGTGAAAAAGCTCAAGTACCACCAGTATGTTCCCCCCGACCAGAAGCTGGAGGCCAGCGAAGCACCCATGGACTCCTCTTATGCCCGACTGCTGCAGCAACAACAGCTGTTCCTCCAGCTGCAGATCCTTAGCCAGCAACAGCAGCATTACAACTACCAGACTATATTACCGGCACCGCTCAAGTACGTACATAAAACATTAGAACTTTGTGATTGTGTTGTTTTAGTTTGGTTTTGGCTCGTCTCCATAGTCAAGTACTTTTGCTTTCAGTGACCCAGAGGGCCATTAGCTAGTTTCCAATAACAACTTTGCATCTAATCATATTAACATCTACCAAGATGTTGCTTCACCAGCTGCTGTTTTCATAAATGTCTCACAGCCGCGGCATGACCAAGCTCCCTTTGAACTACTGCGCTGTGGTTTGGTTGACTGGCTGTGTTAGTGAGGCACAGGATGGATGTTCTGTTCATACTGGGAACAGACTTCCTCTCTCTCTTTCCTGCCTCTTCCATGAGCTCTCCGTTAATACTCCTTTGTCCACCTCCCCTCTTTCTCCCACCTCCACTTCCTCTTTTCTGTTTCTCATTCACGTGCTACGCAAGCGCTGTAAATAATGTTGGGATATAACAATGACCTCATGTTTTTGTGTCTCATTTCTCACCGAAGGCCTGTAGCCGAGGGTCAGAGCGGCAGCGCCGGGAGCCTTCCAACCTCCATTATGGTGTCTTTGCCCACTGCACCTCCACCTCCCCCCGTAACTTCAGCTCTGGCTCGTCCAAACAACTCTCTCTCAAACCGCAAGCCGGGAGTCTTGCCTGCCAATCTGGAGGAGATGAAGGTATTTGGAAAACCCACTGGTACCAGCATTCCCCTTCACCCCTGTAGCTTGGAAAAGCAGAGCCCAGTTGAAATTATCGTTATGATTGTGGCCTCAAGGTAGAAATTACCGTTTTTTAGGCCCACTCAGCTGTTGAAATTGATCTGTCGAGATATCACACAGCCAGGAGTAGCAACAATCTGATAAGCTCTCATAAGATCTAACAAGCTTCTGTTTAGTCATTTGGGAAGTTTGATAAAACAAAGAGAACCCGAGGGCACAGACTTCATATTGTTCAACTTCAAATCTCTTTTTCTCAAAGTTGCATTGGTTTAACACAAATATTAAAATTCAGGAGAAGCAGATCGTCCTGCTCTGTCCGAAGGTAGTTAAGTCCGCCTAACAACAGCACCTCTAAAGCTCACTGATAAACACATTGATTATACAGACAGATACAGTATCTTACTGTTTAATACGTGCAAAAACTGTAAAAGTTGTATTTCTTTGCCGAGATCAGTGACTTCTTGGAGTCTTGTTGGTCAACTGATGTTAGATGGCAGATTGTCTTTGGACTAAGCAAGGCCGTCTGTTTCTCCCTGCCTCCAGTCTTTGTGCTAAGCTAATCGGCATCAGCTGCACTCCTCCTCTAGCTCTAGTCTAAACTGGTTTATGTGATTGTATTTGTCTAGGTGGCTGAACTAAAACTGGAGCTGAAGCTGCGTGGCCTCCCCGTGTCGGGAACAAAGACTGACCTGATGGAAAGACTGAAGCCTTTCCAGGACAACCACTGCACCTCGGCTCCTGCCACTATTCCCGTCCCTGCCGTCTCCTCCATGCCCATGGAGGTCACCACTAGCAGCCCCGCCATAGTCCTTCCAGTCCAGCAGGTGGCTCCAGAGAACATGAACCCGACTCCGCCGGTCTCACCCGTTCCCACTGATCGCTCGACCCTCCAGCAGGATCTCGGCATGTCTGAGGCTCTTTCTGAAACACAGATGGTGAGCTCTGGCTGGCCAGGTCCACAATCCTCGTCTCTGTCGTCTTTTCAAGTCCCGGAAGAAAAAGACAGGCGGCTGCATGAAAAGGAGCAGCAGATAGTGGAGTTGATGAAGAAGCTGGAGCAGGAGCAGAGGTTGGTTGAGGCGCTGAAGATGCAGCTGGAGGTGGAGAAGAGAGGCCAGGGTGGCTGCACCGCTGACTCTGTATCTGCCATGAACCCTGTTTCTACTGTCCGCAGCTCAAATGTGGTAAAAATGGAGGGCACAGTCCTGTCAAACTGTTCATCCGCTGCCGGTGCAATCCCCAACTCTATCCTGGGCATCCAGACTCTCTCCCCCCGGCCAACAGTAGTCAAGTTGGAGGATGTGACTGTTTCTTCTGGCAAGCCTCTCCAGCTCCAGACCCAAACCCAGATCATCACCCAGATCCAGCCCCAAGCCCAGCCCCAAATAATCGGCAGCCCTCGCCTCCTCTCCCAGTCACAGAGAAGTCCCAAACTCCAGACCCAGCCTGCAGCCCCGAGCCTGCAGCAGTTCTTCATCAGCCACCCAGGCGGGGTGTCCCAGGTGCTGGGTCAGCCCCAGACCTTGTTAACCACCACAGGCCTCCTCCCAGTCTCGCTACCCAACAGCGCTACAGCAATCCAGCTGCCAAACACCAATGTCAGCCTGCAGGTACGATTGCTAAAAAAAAAGTAGAGTGACGTCACATGTTGTGGTGCCTGTTAGAGAAGCGTTAGAGCTTGCTTACCTGCTTTAGGGGCTTACTAATTAGAAAACCGGATGTATAGACTCACAATATGTTCTTACACCCTTTTCTCCTTCCTGTTCTTCAGGCCACAGTCTCAAATCCAGGCCTGGTCCAGGCCTCAGCTCCTCAGCGGCAAACCACTAAGAGGGAGACGGCATCCAACCAGCAGTTATCCAACCACAACCCGCTGCTACAGGTCAGCCACGCCGCGCAGTTAGTTGCATTTCTCTGAGAAGTCTCTTATTGCCTTGCCTCAAACAATAATGCTTATCCGGCGCTGTTCGAAGACAGTAATGTGTAATGATGGTAGCTGGAGAAGTACTGCTGTAAAGTTGTCATTACAATTTCCCAGAGACTATGGTGATGTCTTCGAAATTGATTGTAGAAAATAGGGCCTGTTAAAAAGAAATACAGGAACAGACTCGCACAATGTTGCCGTTTTTAAATGTACGCTTTATGTATGCAGACCTTATGATCTACGTTTACCTTATTTAAGAATATTTCATTGTTTTTCACAAAAAAACGTTATTTTTATCCAATTTTATGCATATTTAATGACCATTTGCCTAATATTGTGACTGATGATCCTGACTTGACATTTTCATATCGTCTCATGCTGAGTGGGAGCTAGGAAGGTGTCTGCCCCTCGTCCCATTTGCTGTGTTTCCAGTTCCTTCTTTAAAACAACACTGATGTTCGCATCTGTCTTGTGTGTTGACAGACTCTGACTATGTGCAGTAACACTACTGGTTTGGAGAGCCAGACTAGGCCTGAGATGAATCCACAGTGTTTCCTGAGAAGTAGCCCAGAGAACCGGGTCTCTCCACGAGCTTCACCCAACCGTCACACCTCCAACGGACCCCTCAATAAGGTATCAGTGCTGAGTTATCACTGGAGGGGGGGTTATTCCTATCCTACATTCATATTAATTACGCTTCCCTCAAGAAGAGATCATTTACTATTTCATTTTCACAATTTTCCCAACTTGACCCGGAGAGTTTCTTTTTTCATACACTGTTCTTAATTCTCCGTCTCTCTCTTATCCTTCCAGTCTTCTTCTCCCCAGCCTACCTTCATCCTTCAGCCCACCTCTCTTGTTCCTCAGCCTCCCAAGATACGAGAGCCTCCCCGCTATGAGGAGGCCATCAAACAGAGCCGCAACCTGCACGTCAACAATCTTTCACAGGTTAGAGACGCACCAGCCCAAACAAACGCATCACCGTGTCCTTCAGAATACTTTCAGAATACTTTCTGTTTTCTTGTTTTCAGCAGCCTTCAGTCTCGTAACCTTGTCGACTGTCTTTTCAGGTCCCCACAGCAACCAGCCAGCAAATGGATGACTTGTTCGACATCCTCATACAGAGTGGAGGTAAAGGCACCGACGGCACACACCCCCACAACATTCTGTTCAGTACGAGCATGTTGAAAACATTCTCGTCTCAGGCAAATGAGGAAACTGCTTTGTAGGCAGCAACATTTTGAGTTTGGTGACGTCACAGATTATGTACACAGAATTGATTATGAATCATATCAGCCTTTTACATACTTATGATGTCTTACCTAATATGACAGAGGCTACTCTAAATTCTGAAGAGCTGATCAAATGATGCCTCTTCTGAATAGAAACTTTTTTGTTATTCATTAGCCGGCTTTCTCACTTGCTCTTTAATTCGCTCTGAGAGCAACACACACACACACACACACACACACACACACACCCCGTCACACACATCGGGGGTGATGATATTGGGTCCTGTTTTGACGGCCCATACAGAGCTCTGCGGGCCTGCTCGATATCTGCAGCCATACTATTGCCATCTGTCTGGTCTATTTTTTCCTCAGGCCTAGTAACAGGTCTAGTATAAACGTGTGTGTTTATCAAGCTAAAGATGGTATTACATGTTATAACGACTGTGAGGAAATGGTGGTACCGTTGCCGTTCCCTCAGTGGTTGAACCCTCGTATTAATGCATGTTTTTATCCCCCTCCTCCAGAAATCACTCCATTTATCCAGCAGGACCCTCACGTGTCTCACAATAAGACCCTCCCAGTCACGGCAAACATCTCAACCCTGCCGGTCAACACGGCTCTCTCCAGGCCGCCTGCACAGATCCAGCTGGCTCCGCCGCCCACCCTGAGCCCCCTCATCGGCCACGGCCTGCCCAGCCTCTCCTCGCTGGCCACAGACAATCAGCTGGAGGCCTTTCTGGAGCGCACCCTGGCTGACACGTCACCGGCGTCAGACGCGCGCACACGGGGCCTGATGGAGGAGCTGCAGGCCCAGCTGATGGAGCAGCAACCCTACTCGCCCATGGACACGTCAGACTTGTCCTTCTGCGATTCTTCCTCGCCGTCCTCGCTCAACATGGGCCTGTCCGACCCAGGCCTGGACAATATGGAGTGGCTGGACCTCACCATGCCGCTAGGTCCTGCTGGGTCACTCACACCTCTGGGAATGCCAGCAGACTTCCTGGATGCACAAGACCTGCAGCTGCACTGGGACTGACGGAGGGGTGGATGACAAAAGGAGGAAGAGAGCAGCTGAGCCAGGAGTGAGAGATGGATGGATGGATGAAGAGAAGAGGAAAGGGATCGACGAGGTTGAGTTTCCACATTTTTAAAAGGGAGAAAACGTGGCATTTTGTGCCGTACCACTCTCACTAGTACATCCAAACCATCTGTAATATTCCCACTATACTACAGTGAATATGCTGTACAGGCACTGATTCAAGTTGAACTACACGCAGGAGTTTGCACAGTTATAAAAGAGGGCCTCAAATGGCTGAACAGCCAGAATAACATCATCACTAAGACGAGATCCCCCAACATATGAAGGGATTTTAAAAAGACTTTTACAGGGTCAGAGGTCATGATCACTTAAAGAGACAAGAGACAGAGCCAAATGAATTCTGGTAGCACGGACTGTGTGTAAATACTCTAAACAACACTAAAAGAACTTCTCGGGAGAGAGCCTGAACAGCATTGATGTCAGTGTGACCGCTGCATCTGTTTGACTGTGTAAGCGCAGTAGCTACATGTCAAAGGGTAGACGTGGTGTCATGTGTGTTCCACTGGAGCATATTGAGCCATTGTAGGTTATACAAGCTGGTCATTTACAACACAATCAATATGTTGCTCTAAATGACAGCTCACAGATGTAATCAAGTAATAACAAATGGAATTTATATTCTCAATAAGAATTTAAATGAGGCTTGGTCTGGGACGTCCCGGTGTCGGTGCAGCCTCAGCTGCTGACCTCTCCCCCTGGGGAAGCTCAGACTAAACTAAGTCTGAGGTGCTGGACGGTCAAGTCCGTTTGTTCCTTTTATGATCGGATGTTTTAAAGGGATTCCTAACTGAGAGGAGGTCACGCCTCCGTTCACACTGGTCCAGTCTACCACATACTGTACAGCACGCGTACGCTGACTAATCTGACGTGTTGTATCAGATGTTTCCCTTCTGACCTTTCACGACCCCCTGCGGTCAAGCTGACGAACCAATGACTCTAAAGAACAAAAGACTCGACTTCAGTCGGATGGCGAGAGGAGGAAGCTCCTCCGTCTATGTGAGAGCTATGCACGTGAGGGGCGGAGAGATCCGGCGATGCGCCTCATTCACCTCGGAAACAAGGGAATGCAAACTTTGCATACCTGCGGTGATGCACAGCTAGGATCGTGGGGGCCAATTGCTCCAGAGATGCAGGTGTTGTCGTCCAAGTATCTTACTTTGAATGTAATTTAGACAAAATGGGGACTTCGCTCACCAAGTCGGCAGCTTTTTCTCTTCTGATAGTAAACTGACATAAAGCGGTGGAAAGGGAACAAATGTCGGTTTATAAGACATGCAGACGCATATCCAGAAGAGTTGTGAATTGCAAGTTGTATCAAGGAGGGAAGATGTCGCTGGAGGAGATGAGCTTTATATCGAGGTGTGTGTGTGTGTGTGTGTGTGTGTGTGTGTGTGTGTGTGTGTGTGGAAAATGATTGCGGAAAATGATTGCATCACTAGCCCACAAATGTGCTGGTTAACAATTCCCTTTAGCCGATCGATTAATCTGCTTTAACAGCCCACTGATTGAGTGACCAACCATCATTTGGATGAACCAGAATACTCTTAAGTCGGGCTGGACCAAATAGTTTCATTCATAACATTCAGATTCTAGATCAACATTTTAATGCTGCACGTTTTTTTTTTTTTAGTTATGTTTTATTTCTGCACCGCTGCAGACAAAGATGAGGCTGCGCTGATATTAATAGTATCACTGTGTGTAGAATTAGATTCCACTGGTGGCTACAAAGGGTTGTTTCCGACCCGTGTGATCCAAACGTGAAAGATTTATTGAAAAAAGATGGATGTAATCGTTTCCAAAATTCACATGTTTTTAGCCAACAAGATATTTTGCTGAAATCCATATTTGTTGGCGTTAAGCCTTTAAAAAATGTTTTCATTGTGGTCTAAAACGGTTTACTCAACCGCACGCACCTGTGTTAATGGAGCCGTCTAGCAGTAATCTGACAGCACCTTAAACTCAGACATTTATATAATAACAATGTTTATTTAACAATATGACGACAGATATTTAAAGATTCATTCCAAAACCTCAACAGAAGCTTAAAATAAATAAAAATAGCTTCAGCACCGCCCCATTCTAAAGTAATATTTGGCTGAGAAAATAGTCTCTCGTGATGCATACTGACCAAGGGGATATGTAAGAGAAGCGTGTGTGTGTGTTTGTGTGTCTGTGTGTCGATTTGTCTTCCCGTCTTCTGCATGTACACCTGTGACTCTGTGTGCATGATTGTATTCATGTTAAATCACGGGCTGTCTCGAGCTCGTTGCCCACGAGTTGTCTGAAAACGATGTACTAATATCTATGAAATCAAATCATTCGGTTGACATGTTTAAAACCACTCTTCAGAAGGCTCCTGATGACTGTTTCCTGTTTTGTTTTTTTTTGTTTTTTTTTTAATTATCTGTGTTGTTCAGTTGGTGTCCTACAGTCAAAAACGCACCGGCACCTTTGAGGTGTGATGCACAGTGAAGAGGGCTGAGCTACTTTTAAAGTTGTCATGAATTCTAAATCATCATTTTAAACAGATTGCATCATATCCCACTAGTTAGTTTTCAAACCTGAATATTGAGTTACTGATTTAGTGTCTCAGTTAAGGATATCATTTTGGGTTTGATGCGGTCTCACTGTATGGCACTTTGAAACACAATAGCTTTTTTACTTGTCTTTTTTTCACGTCCAGTGACTTAAACCTGTTGTTACGTCCATGGGCTCTAGAGGGCGCTGCCTCTCTTCTGTTGGCTTTTTTTTTTTTTTTTTTAGCACAAACATTTAAATGAGGCCGTTTCACGGCCTCAACAAATTGTAAGAGATGACCTCATTCTCGTGCTCATTCCTGGTTGGTGCACCTTTGGTTGAGTTGAGTCAGGGTGCTGGGACCCTGAGTACCGCCGAGGGTAAGAATCACGAGTGGATTCATGTTTCCTACAAGATGACGAGTTGAACCGTTTGTTTTCTTCAGTCAGCTTTAAGGCTGACACATTTAATATTGTGTTGCCAAAAAAGGGCAGTGGAACATATCACATTTTATTTTCTCACGTTTTTTTTGTATTTTTCACTTCTTCTGCGTGGTGAAAATGAAAAGACAAAACATTTAATCTTGCTTTCATGCCAATGTAAAAGAGGATTCCATGTGTATATTCCAGGTTTGCAGAGTCGTTTCATTACTTCCTTTTCATATCAGACATGCACAAACGTCTTGGCTGCGTTAAATCTACACATGTATGTGATCTACAGCTTAAAGCAATACTGGCTGCTCTCCTTTTGATATACCATCACGTCTACATGGTTACCCACACGTTGCGAAAACTCTGGCTGCCCGTCGGGCGCTAACCGTAACCATTCACGGTCAACACCTAACCTCAACCATCTTGAGGGAGTTTCACAACTTGTGGGTTACCTTCTAGAAGAGACCCGTGATATACTGTACTGTATGTCACATCCTGCCTCGATTTTTCATAAAACTTTTACAGTTTATAAGTTCAAAAGCATGTTTGAATAGCCCTCTAAAGTTGGAGGTTTGTGGAGGCATGGTCAATCTGAAGAACCCTTAAGGTTCCTGTCAGCTTCTCCACGTTCATAGTTGGAGTCAACAGGTGTCGGCTCAGGTTCCCCCGTATTGACTCCAGCTCTCCTGCGTGTCCCACTTCACCTGCAGAGTTCATCATCATGTAAACATTTGTTGGTTGAGAAGCTGAACTTAAGAGCAGACCAGACGTTTCATTACAGTCGATGTATTTTGGGGACATTTACATCCGTCATTGTAGCCGAGTCTCCACCGCCCATGCTATGCCTCTTGTTTGTATGCCATATGTTTTGCACATTGTGTACATATTTATATAGATGTAATGCATATTTTTCTACATGTGTAACATCCATGGGGTCTCTAATGTAAATACTCAAAAAGATGTATATAAGTACTGTATGCCTTTCTGTGTCAATAAAATTGGTGTACTGTGAACGCCTCTACAGAAGTTAATTACAGAATGACCAACATTTCCGACAACATTATCACAAACAATATTTAAAACAGTTGGCGAGAGTATAGAAACAGAAGTGTACAGGAAGGCACAACATTTAAATTGTGTTGCTGCTGGCCGTGTATGCAAACCATTGTTTGTCAGACTTTGCGGTTCACAGCCCCGTATTTGCATCTGTTCACCAAAGTATTTCCATTTTGAGATAACAGATGTTCATGAAGGTCATTCCATTGTTGACAGAAAAGCCAGCGATCCATTTGTTTGGAGTTATTAGTATCTGTCACATAAGCTAGTCTAGACATTCTTTAAGTTAGTCCGGTTTGTATTTGCTTTAAGTAGGTCACCGTGTGAACTTAAAGATAAAAGGTATTCAGGGTGATCAATTGGCAGCAATGTAGAATATCATGAATAAGTATGGCTCACGGGAGAAGTTTCAGTTGGTTGCAATCTGCAACCTCACCGCTAGATCCTACACACTACCGGTAGATCTTTAAGTTATCTGAGCCTTTGTGCTGATTGTACCAGCGGTGTAGTCGACTCCAGCTACATTGCTGGGATCAGCTGTTGAGTCAAATGGCCGAGTCCCAGACAGCTCCAAGACCGCGGCAAGGGGTCACTCGGGTATAGAAGCCGTGGATCGTACTGTACATATCGCACCAGGGCTGGTAATATAGTAACCTCCGTGTCAAAATGGCTGGTGCTTGTGTATGTTTGCTCGACACTCGGGACACTGGTGGTGGACGTCTCTCAGACGGCTCATGAAAAAAGGGATTAAACAGCAGCCTCCTACACACCTGTGGAAGGAAGGAAGAGAGCGAGGATGCAACATCAAAGGTGTCAAACTCCCCAACAACGTTTGTTTTAAACTGTAAATCACTTTGGAAAATAGTGGTCAGCTTAAACACATAACATCTACTGACATTACAGACTCAGTAGTGGCAGGTACACAGCAATAACCATCTACAGTTAGCTAACATTCACCATTATCAGCTACTGGCCATACCAGACTAAGTAAGGCTGTAGAAGTAATACCTTCAGGCAGAACCAGTCTAGCGGTTTCCTCCCTGCTCAGCTAAGCTAATTTCATGCACAGACAGACTATTGCCAAGAAAGCGAACAAGTGTTTTTTTTACAAAACACCAAAACATTTCATTATGACTAGTGTTACCACTGCAGTCTGGCAAAGTGACATTATCTACAGCCAGGTTCAGAAAGACATACCCCATCAAGGTGCACAAGAAGCAAATCGTCCACGAAGCGTTGCCCACTCTGCTGCGGGTTTCTGTGAAGACGACCTCTTCACAGGATGGACACTTGGTGAGCGCTGGTGTTTGACCGAGAAAGTCCACTTGAGAGACAGAGAACTGTTACCGGCCTAATGGATACTCAAATGTAGACTGCTGGGGCTTAATCACAAACTGTGGGGGGTACATTTGTATGGCATACTTTACTATGAACTTTGTATGACAACTTTTTTACGGCATTGTATAGTATGACTTTTCAATCGTATTCTATACGATACGTCTAGGGCGACGGTGGCTAAGTGGAGAGCAGGGCCGTAAAAGAAAGTCATAGCGAAGTACAGCGAAAAAACGTCATAGTATAGTATGTTGAAAAATAAATAAATATTTCATAATAAAATATGTCGAAAAAAGTAAAAAATAAAGTCATGGTATAGTGTGTCGAAAAAAGTCAGAGTATAGCATTTGTGACGACCCATCCCTTCTACTCGGAGTCTGTGTCCTGTTTCCTCTCTTTCTGTTTTTCAGGATGTCCAATGTGAACTAATGAGCCGTACCTGAGCCTGCTGAGGTTCCAGCTTTATAGTTTCTCCCCCTGAACATTGGACGGGCTCTTCTTTGGCTGACATGGCTGCTGATTCGTTTTGGTAGTTTAGTTTATGTGTTCTTTGAATAAATATGTTGTTTATCACTTTTAACTCGTCTGGTCTCCCATTCATGTTGCAGCCTTTGAGCTGGTTTGCAACACATCACAAACAAAGGTTTTTAAAAAGTCATAGTATGTCGAAAAAAGTAATAGTTATAGCATGTCGAAAAAAGTCATAGTTATAGCATGTCGAAAAAAGTCATAGTATAGTATGTCGAAAAAAGTCATAGTATGACAAAAAAGTCAGTTATAGCATGTCAAAAAAAGTCATAGTATAGTATGTCGAAAAAAGTCAGTATAGCATGTCGAAAAAAGTCATAGTATACTATGTCGAAAAAAGTCATAGTATGACGAAAAAAGTCATAGTTATAGCATGTCGAAAAAAGTCATAGTATAGTAGGTCGAAAAAAGTCATAGTATAGCATGTCGAAAAAAGTCATAGTATAGTATGTCGAAAAAATGTAATAGAAAAGTATGTCAAATTGTTTTAGAGTGCTGTGTTTACGCCTCGTGTGCACCTTTGCCTCTATCTGTGCTCAGCATCCTCTCATCCCTCTGTGTCAGCAAGTGTATGTGTCGGCTACTTCACAGTCACGTTTGCTGGCCCTGTCCACCTGAACAGCACCATTTTGAGGCTGACGTGCCCACGCCCCTCCAGCAGTACCCAGTGGCAAGACTGTGCATAACTTTGCTTACTCTGTGAAACCCTTATAGTAAAGTAGGTCATGGGTTAGTATGTCATAAAATGTCATCAAAATAGTATAGTATGTCATAAAAACAAATGTAATTAAGACTATCATAGTATAATATGCTATAGTAAAAGTCTAAAAATGGTACAGTATGTCATAAAGAGCCATTAAGAATTCATACGTATGCCATAAAGAAAGTCATAAAAAGTATAGTTTCGTACATTATCCCACCAAAATATCATACTAGGGAATGTCATAAAATGTCTTAATATAGCATTTCATAAAAAATGTCACAGTAGCCTACCTAGTATGCCATAAGAATGTCAGCATTGACTGCATGACTTAACTGAGATCGTTATATGTGTGTGTAAGTGTGTAACTTACCTGGAATGACTGAGCCGGTTGGTGTGTCTGCTACAGGACTCACTTTCACTCTGTGCTGCAGTGTGAAGTCCTTCTGTGCCAACTCGGGACGCGGTAGCATGTAGATCCCCCCACGGGGTGTCTCAGTTTTAGAAAAAGTGGGATGGGTGCCTTGTTCACCTGATTTAAAAGATGAGCAGAGACATCATAGATTCATTAAGCAACATCTAAAAAAAAAAAAAAAAAAAAGGAGGATGTTTTCACAGGAAGCAGGGTGGCCATTACCGAGCTATGTTAAGGTGCTTGATGCTGTACTTTAAAAGTAGTAATGTTGAAGTATATTTTCCGGTGATGGGAAGTCTGAATTTTAAACTCTATTATGAAGATGCAAATTGGTAAAGACAAACATGCCTTTGTTTGTTCTGAGTTTGGAGCGATTTCCCTGTTTCTCCAACTCCTCCTTTTTAACCAGCAGCTCGTCAAGCTCCCTCTGGATGGCCTCCAGCTCACACAGTTGGTCGCTGTCCTCACAGGTCACTGACAAACACCAGACAGTGGGAAGACGTTAGCAAAGCTGGACAGATCAAGCATGCTACTGCACCGGTTATTCATTATTTTTAACCATTGCAGCAGTTCTTAATGCAGCAAAAAGGTTATTAGGCAAGTTAGAAATATGACAATGAATCATATTGTCAGCTAAATAACTCAAATGGAGTGGAACAATAACTCTTCAATTAATTTTACTCCTCTATTTGCCTCTCTTGAACTCATTTCATATTTTTCGTAGGCCTTAACACACGTCTAATCATTTATTCCATGTTGTCCCCACACAACATTTCCCATTTTACTAATGATTATCCTTTATGGTAATGAGATGGAAGTACCCTAGAGGGAAAGAAATAATAACCAGCTTCTAGTTTGTCAGCTAACTTCGTTGGTGCTAGTTTTCTGTCTAGTTTTTTGTTGGAAAATGAGTAAAAGATAAACGTGAGACTAAAATAAATCAATCAATTTATTTCAACTGCATGGTGGTAAAGGGGAAAAAAGCTTCTTTTTTTTTTTTTTACTTAGATAACTTTGTTGGATTTGGCTTGCTGGCAAAAACGTTGAATAAATGAAGCTGCTATTTATTTTACCAAACGAAAGGTGGTAAAAGAAAAGTACACAGCTTTATATTTATTTGAACACTTTAGATAGCTTGTATCTGCATTACGTGCTTATTTGAGTGGACAGATCCATTGACTCACTTCCCTCTGTGGTCCTGACACCGTTGTCCTCCGTCTTCTTCCTGAAGCGCTGAATCCTCAGCAGAAGGAAATGCCTGTTGTGGAGCTCCGTGATGCGGAACTCGATGTCGGTCTGCGGTGGGGGTCCGTTCCATGGCTCCGGTGTCCCGTGCTTGGATTGGGACCAGGAATCAGGTTCAGAGTCATCCTGCCGCTCTTGTGTTGGCTCTGGACCAGCGCCTGTGTTTATCCCTGAGCTCTGCACGTGGCCCTGGTACATCCTGTTTCGAGAGACCTGAATCAAGGTGTTTTGTGACGTGGTTTTAACCACAAGGAATCCTCAAACTGAACCTAAACCATGAACTAAAAACTGATCAAAACCAGAGTCCGAATGCAGGCTCAAGTCCTCCTGGGGAAGGTTTAGGTGTCAAGGCTTTGTGCGCATACAGTTGAAGTGGTAAAACATGCAAATGATGACAGCACGGAGCACGAGCAGCACAATGACCAGTAGCTGACATTAACGGACATGATTTGACTCTCGTTTTGTTGCTGTGTGAAAGTACAGTTTCTAAGCTGGGTTATTATACCATCTAAATTTAATACATTTCTTCTCATCTTGGATCACATTATCTGCAGTAATTTGATCCCGTGTTAGAGTCAAAATATTCATCAGTGCAGCTTTAAGACTGAAATTCAGTGGAGCAAAAAGAGTAGGTACCATGAGTAATATCCATAATGTGATGTAATGTTTTTTTTTTTCCAAGCCATCATCAACCCCTTGATAAGAATGTAGGTGTTATGCCAATAAAGCTCAGT